CTACAAAGGTTTGAGCCTCGCGCGCGTATTACGGATATAGAGGACTGAATTTAACATTTGATAAAAAAAATGCAATTTTGAAGCTTATTTGGAAGATACCTTGAGTTAGTAGTAAGCTTTCTGGCAAATGTTGGGGGTTCGTGAGCATTCCTGCTTCCAAAGGGGTGCAAGTGATTTTGATCGATTCTATTCATCAACTTTTTCTTTAAAAAAAAATACTACAAATTTGGTACGCCTACAAATCAAAAACGGAAAGAGTTTAGATAATAGATGATCGATCAGTTAAAAGAACTAAATTTTCTTCACATTTGTTCCGTGCCCTAGCCGTCCTACGTCAAGCTCCCGTTCGTGTCCCTAGGCACAGACCCTTCTACTTTCTTTTTTACAGCATCTTACAGCACAAGCAAAAAAGCAACAAACCTATTGACTCACGCTTAACGCGCAACTGCACCTCAAAAACATAAACGACATAAGATTGAATGAGGACATATCTATGTCAATTGCAAAGGCTAATTCCATGCTTGTATTCATGCATCACAACACTGCGTGATTCGGCGGCGTGCACGATTTGAAAACACTGTACTGGTACCACATTATGTAAGATCACAGACAAACAGACGTAATTCTTTGAAAAAGTTTTTCTTGAAATCATAGTATCTCAAAACATAGGACCTCAGTAACAACATCTCTTTGGCTTCTCGCGGAAAACAAGATTGCTCGCTAACTCGCAAACAATATTCCATAAAAGTTCTATAGAATGAATAGAAACGTCAAAGTGATCCGAGCCAGCACTGCGGCGAGTAGTTCGCGGAACTGATAATATTCAAATCAATCGTTAAATGCGTGAACGAAGATACACAATGAAGTGTTACGTCTGTTTGTCTGTGGTAAGACTATCGAAACGACTATTCATACAAGTACACTCAAAAAATTTATCTAGACATGGATGAAATCCATGTGATTTTCACATAGCTTTTCTATGATCACATAGCAGCAAATCCCACCACAAAATCACATGAATATTATGAGGTCCATGAAATTCATATGAAAAATCATATAAAATTAATGTGATCGCATAAATTTTATGTGAAATTCAGATGAATTCCATTAATTTTGATTATGGATGAAAATCATGTGCGTTTCCAATGGAAGCTACATGAAAACTATTTTCGGTGTAGTTTATGTTAAATTCGGTTTTTACGCCTTCCATAATGAGGTGCCTGCTCTTTAGCTCATAGTGCTCTTAAATATGGAGTTCAAATTTTGGCTCCATATCATGATGTCCACGTTTCGCGCATTGATAAAATTGCTCTTCCATGATTTAATTAAGTGCCACATAAAAGATGTCTTCGGCAAAGTTGCTTGAGATCATGCTTTCTACAACATTTCCGAATTATGCAACCACCAACAAACCATAATTAAAAAAAAGTTAAATTTCGGAATTAAATTTAAATTGGAAGCTCGCTAATCAAGTTTTACATAAAAAGCAGGTACTTTTAACTTTTATGAAGACACCAACCGTCAAAAACGAATAAAAACGGTGTTGGGTAGAGAACGGCTTCAGCCGCCTCCCCGAGACCATGGGTTTTTGTTTCTAAAGAAAATTATTCAGAAATCTATCCAAAAGATGCTCTATGATGTGGAGCATCATACTGCAAAAAATCTAAGAGGCTGAGCCTTACTCTTTAATCTCTATCTTAATCTATCTCTACCTTACGCACTTCAAATCGGCCAATCACAAACTGGTTCACGTTAGACAGAAAAGTGGTTCGTTTTCGCCCCCGTGTTGTCGTCTCTTCCTTAGCAAAAAATGTGCGTTGTAAGTTGTTAACTCTAAAGAAGCTGCATTCGTAAAGAGACATATCAAAATTGGAGCAATCGATTATCTATTAAAGTCATAGGAAAAGTTATTCCAATCGAGCAGAAGACCTGTCAAATAGAAAAGATGTCGCCTCTTTACACAATTCAGTCTCTTTAGTTTACCCCATGCTTGGAATAGGATTTCGTGGAAGCCGAAGCCGCTCTCCACCCTACATATGTTTTACCCTTCTTACAAAGAAGGGTATTATATGTATATCGCTTGGAAAATCGACTTTCGATCCGAGGTTTCATATACAATTCGACTCAGCACGACGAAATCTGAAAATGTCTGTATTCTTCGCTGCATACAGCGTAAATATTGACGTTTTTTTTTAAAAATCAGTTAATCATGACAGATCCTGTTGCTCGTAGGTCTCTTTTCTACATTAACGTTGTTTTCAAAGATCAAAACGTCATGATTACCTGAGATTTGTCAATGATGTAAATATTTACACGTCGTGCATTGAAGTCATCATGCAACACCTCAAAAAATAAAAAAATCAACGGTGGCCATTAGGGTGGGTCAACTTTACCCCCTGTTCCCCACTGCTCTTTCAATGCGTATTAAAGTCCCCAAGAACTGTGCAAAATTTGAACTTAATCGCGATTTGCGAGAGAATTTTAAATTTTGTTTGGGAAAATGTATGGGAAACGGATCCTATTATTTTGCTTAATAAAAATACAAAATCGCTTCAAAGCAGGGGATGCATCCATCATTTTGCGCAGATCGGTCGCCGAGTTACTTGGGTCCAACTATGCCGACCACGTACATCGGTACACCGACGGCTCCCGATCGATAAACGGAGTAGGTATCGGGATTTTTGGAGACGGTATTGTTGAAAGCAGCAGTCTTCCTCCACAATGCTCGGTTTTCTCGGCCGAGGCTGCAGCGATCTTCCGTGCCGCTACGACGCCAGCCAACAAACCGATACTTATATTAACCAACTCACACAGCGTCGTTCAAGCGATCACCTCGGAAGCACCAAAACACCCACGGATCCAGGCGATTATCAAGTACGCCCCACCGAACACCGTGTACACATGGATTCCCGGACACTGCGGAGTGCCAGGTAACGAGTCTGCCGGAGCCGGGGCATCGGGTCCCAGGACGTAAAGGGGACCAAAGTAAAAGGGTCAACTGAACCATGGAGCGAACTGGACAACCTGAGGGATCAACGCGTGATTTCGCGGCTTCGAACCGGGCACACCAAACTCTACTATAACTATGGTGGCCTGTCGTTCCGCAGAAGCTGCATCATCTGTGGGGTACACCGTCGAACACATCCTGTGCAACTGCCCGGAGTTCCAAAATCTTCGGGAATCACTCTGCCTAACTTCCAGCATCAGCGATCTGCTCGGGAATGATACTTCGGCCTCGGCAGCACTAGTAACCTTCTTAAAAGAAGCCAAAATCTACCACTTGGTATAGCAGGAATTTCTTTCGGCCGTCGGGACATCTCAGCTGGATGGATTTCCCCTATTGGACCCATGCCAGCTGAGCTCTGTTTTGTTTGGATTAATCGTTTGTAGCTTGTCTTAAATCATTTTGTTTTCTGTTGTTCCTCTGTTTCATTATTTTATATATTGTTATTTTTTCATATAAGTTGAAGAGCCAGCAACCAAAGTTATTTACAAAATGTTAATATACCATGTATTCAGAGGTTACTCACTCTGAGCCCTTTCCTTATTCCGGAGATGAACTAGCCATAGGCTAAAAATCTCCTTAATAAAGAATTAAAAAAAAGACTAACCTGAATTTCTCAGAAATTTGCATGAAGTTCATTGATATATTCAGAATTTCCAAAAAATCCTAAAAATGTCTAAATTTAAGGTTGTGGAACATCCCTTAAAATATCTAAATTTCCCTGAACTTATGTGGACTTACCTGAAATTTTCGTGCCTCCATGACAATGTTCCCTAAATTATTAAATGTTCCAGCAAATAATTAAAGAAACTGCTTTGAAGATCTATACACAGAAAAAAAAGTTGTTAAATATTACATCCAAACTGCTGCAACCACGTCAATCCATCGGTTGTGGAATATAACGTTGTACGATGTATATCGAATTTGCGAACAAAATTACATCCATTGATGTAATATTGTATCTGCTTTTTGCTATTACATCATTATTTCATACATCAGCTTGAATTACATTGATCGATATTACATTTTTTTTGCTGTGTAATCAACCTTCAAATTGTCTAGACATTCCAAAAAATAATGAAAGTGCCTAAAAATATAAAACCTTCTCTAAAGTTCTCAGGACTCCTCTGAAGATCTGAGAATATAGCCGAAGTTTTCGGAAATTCCCTGAGTATCTAGTAACGTTAATTGAGCTACACCTAAAGATTTTCCCTGAAAATTTCTGGACTTCTGTTATGTTTCCAAAATATGTATGAAGTTTTCTAAATTTCTCAGGAGTTCTCTGAACTTAAGTTCCTCGAAATTTCCCTAGAATTCATAGAGGTATCCTGTATTTATAGAAATTATCCTTTACAGATCTTTAAACTTCCCCAAAAGTCTGGATTTTCCTGAAGTTAAGTTAAGTTAAGTTAAGTCCCTGAGCTTGTCTGAAAATGTGAAGAACTAGCTTGACTGATATTCTTAGAATTTCTATAAAGTATTCATATGTTCTTTGGACTTATCTGACGATCTTAGCGCTTCTTAAAAGTTGCTGCAGTTTCCATGAAGCTGATGGAAGTTCTCAAAGCTTCCCTGAAGTGTAAACAACATATTTGTTTGGTCTACCTACCAGCAGATTGGAAAGACTTCATTTTTCAGTAACAATGTAAAGTGCTCCTTCAGAAAATAAAAACAGCCAGACGGACAGAAGTTGTATCGGGCCCAGTATTGTGGTGAGACGTTGTTAAAAGTGAGATTGTATTTAAGGACACACTGGACAGAGTCCACAAATGACCGTCATAATGGTTGAAACTCGGAAACTTCAGTGACTTCGACGCTGTGTGTATGAAATTGACACCCCATGGAATTATCCTTCTTAGATGTACCCAATCCATGATCCATCAAGGCATCCGATTGAAGTAATTTGAATGGTAAAAAATAACGATGTATGCGTCTTCAGTTCAGTGCAGTGTAAAAACGGTTTGTATTTCTGTTTAACATTTGTATTTTTCTCTGGCTAATCCCTCCTACCACTGCCACTATTCTCCAACGAATTGAACAGATAATCCTGCATGTATTCGACCGTATCCTCCAGTGCGTATGGTTGCACCAATTCAAACCGTGTCGGTGGTCCTCGTTTATAAACCCGTACGGTCGGACAATCTTTGATATCCAACCTAAAACACAACGTCTCTTCCGCAATACAGTCCACTTGAGCGAATCGTACGAGATCAGCAAACCGGCCACTCATCATCTTCGTCGCTTCGGCCCATTCCGGTAAGATCTTCAAACAGTATTCACACCTTCAAAAATTCAAATAGAATTAGCACTTGCTCAAACAGATAAATGAACACCACTAGTCACTAACCATGGAGCGTAGAATAGCACCAAATTGTACTGGGACGAATTCAGTTGTTGTTCAAAATTACTACGGTTCAGTTTCACGGATCCGATGACATCATTGAACTCGTCTATCCTATCGAGCTCGTCCAACCTCGGGTGTAATGCTATTGCAATCTTCTGCAATCCATCAACGGTGGCGAAAGCGGTCACTATCGCCAATGCCTGAACGATTCGCACCTTCATCTTTCACTTAAAATCAGGCTCTATCGAATGGTTTAGATAATACAAACAACAGCAAGCTGACGACGAACGGTCTGCGCTTGTTGATCTATCTGCTATCGGTGGTGTTTGCAAGCTTGTTACTGACGACGACGACGATGATCATGGCGGCGATGATCTAAATCGGGGTTCGATAGTTTCTACACTCCTCGCTGTATAGATAGATAGATATGTGCACATCAGAAACCGACTGACACTAACCGACCAGGCGCGCGGCAAAAACACCGACAGATGAATGCAAAATTGTTGGCCGAACTGATGGAGACCCGAATATAGTAATTGAATAATTTCCGAATAATTGAATGGTTCCAATTAGCACGCGAGCGCTTCTTACGGGTTGGTTGACGGTAGGTCAGCACGGTGGGAGCAACCCGAAACCTCATGAATTCGTGTATGTGCGATGATGATGGTTATGCACACAGGTAACAGGTAAAATCGGGTGGCGTGAAGTGCCACTTGAATCGGCTAAGTTTGCCGTTTTTGTTTTGGGCTCCAATACCGATCTGTATACGTTTGCGTACCACATGTCGATCGGATTATGCGTAATGCTGAAAACGATCTTACCTGGAGGTTTAGGGAAAAAATCGAAGAGGATGCTAAGTGGATATAAGCTCGCCGTGCTTGAATAATAGTGGTGATCGTTTGGCTTAGTCATGCTGCAGAATTGAGCTCATTATGCATGTAAATCAAGACCAATGCCCCAAACGGTTGTATTTGCTTTCATCATTTTTTTGTCGACGAAATGTTTTGGTTTATCGTGCCAAACAGAGCCAGATTTGTTCACGTGATCATCAATGTCTGACCGATTGAAAGTGTGAAATTGAAGTTCGTTTGAGTATGGTGGTGGTTGGATACATTTAACTGTAAAATAAATCAATCAATATAGAAACGACATTTTGAAATGTTAGTCTTGAACTAGTAATATATGCTACTGATACATCGTTCAATGCTTTATGGTCGATGGTAATGCGTTTATGATGGTAAGAGGGGGTAACGTGCTCAAGGAATGTGAATGGTGTAGGGTATTTTGCCTCCAAAAACTGTATTTATCATTAAGGGACCATCCATAAATGACGTCGCATATCTTTGACAAATTTGTAGACCCCCCCCCCCCCCCCCCTTGGTAGCGCGTCTAATACAGGCAGGTCATATCTTCTGAACTGAATGTTTCTTTTACAAATAACTTCTAAATTTATAGAAAAATGGATTCGCTTGGAGTTTTTTAACTCTTTATTTGTTCCAAATACAAAATAAATAACATTTCATTTTAACCTAGGTGCTCCAGTCACTACAGTAACTTACCAGCCTTAATTGTTATGATATATATCTAAGTGTTTTTACATTGTTCCTGCCTTGGCAATTCAGTACTTTAAACAGGTTTTTTAAACCTGCATGTCAGTATAATAATTGAAATCTTAAAACTAAAAACTGAAGCTAAATCTTATCTAAGTATAAAAGGAATTAATCGTTGCAATTGAGGATTGTAACGATTTTTGCCTGAAAGTATTATTTATTTTGTTAGACATTTGTTCTAAAGTCTCAACATTCGAAATTCTATGTACCTCGGTAGTACTGTACCAGGGAGGCAACTTCAAAATCATCTTCAGAACGTTGTGCTTTTTTCCTGGTAGTGCAACAACTAGACCATATTGGCACAGCGTAAAGCATGGCCGTCTAAAAACTTGTTTAAAAATTAAAAGTTTATTCGTCAGGCAAAGTTTAGATTTCCTGTTTATAAAAGGATACAAACATTTTATATATTTGTTATATTTGGCTTAATTTTTGGTCAAGTACTAACCCAAGATATTTTCCTTGATTTGACCAGAAAATTGGAACTCCGTTCATAGTGACTATGTGACTACTACTAGGTTTCAAAAACGAAGCTCTAGGCTTATGTGGAATAATCCACAGTGGAATTATTATAAGTTGAGTTTTGGAAGCATTGGGAGAAATCTTCCATTTTTGTAAATAAGAAGAGAAAATATCTAAATTTTTCTGCAGTCTGCTACTAATAATACGAAGACTTCTTCCTTTAGCGGAAATGCCTGTGTCATCAGCGAACAAAGATTTGTGTCAAATCAGGGAAGTCCAAAGTGAAAATGTTATACAATATAGGCCCAAGAATGCTCCCCTGAGGAACTGCTGCTCTAGCAGGTAGTCGATTAGATTTGGAAATTTGATAATTTACCTGCAGAATTCTGTCAGTTAAATAATGTTGAACTAATTTCATAATATAGAGTGGAAAATTAACTTTTTCAATTTAGCAATCAAACCTTCATGCCAAATACTGTCGAATGCTTTTTCTGTGTCTAGAAGAGCAACTCCAGTTGCCAGGATTGTCCCTCGGTGTACATCGGACAAACTCGTCGCAAAGTAAAAGTTCGTATTATGCATAAGTACAATATTGGGTATACTCAGCGATCAAATTCACTCCGCTGATCAATTTGACCCCGTTTTACGGCACCTTCTTTGAAAATTTTCCCACCTAGACGGACCTAACAAATACGAGATAGGAAGAAGTGACCGTCGTAATTAATTTTAGGCTCATAGGTTGAAAGAACTTTAGCATGTCCAAAATATATTCGTTCACATTCAGTGTGTCCAAAATATATTATGGACACTGTCCAAAATCAAGTGGAAGGGTCCAAAATATGTGAATATCATGATGTGAAAAGAATTATTTTTCGAGTATATATCAATAAATAAAACATCTTGTGACATTTTACATCCAAGATGAGTAGCTTTCGAACACAACCGCATGTAAATTGCATAATAATAATATACAAATAATATTATTTTGACATAAACGTGATCTCACTTCCTCTAGGGGTCCAAAATCAGTTGGTTACCCTACAACTATAGGAACCTAACACTTCTAAAGTACCGCAACTATAGGAGCGTTTAACCTAGTTGAATGCCCATGGCGAAATCCAAACTGCTCATCTGCAAAAATTGAGTTCGTATTGATGTGAAGCATCATTCTATTTAAAATTATCTTTTCAAAAAGTTTACTTATTGAAGAAGACAAACTTATTGGACGATAGCTAGAAGCTTCTGCTGGATTTTAATCCGGCTTCAAAATTGGAGCAACTTTTGCATTTTTCCATTTATCAGGAAAGTATGCCAAATGGAAACATCTGTTAAATAATTTTACCAAGAAGACAAGGTACTCTCTGGGAGTTTTTTGATGAGGATATAGAAAATTCCATCATCACCTGGAGCTTTCATATTTTGGAACTTTTTAGTTATAGACCTTACTTCGTCCAAATCAGTCCCCGAGGAATCATCAAAAATATTTTCCCGAGAGAAAATATTCAGATAATCCCGAGCAACCTGATTCTCAGTAGGACTAGTAAGACCCAAACTAAAATTATGGGAACTCTCGAATTGCTTTGCAAGTTTCTGAGCTTTTCCAAATTTGTGATCAAAATTTTACCACGTTCTTCAAGCGCTGGAATAGGCTTTTGAGGTTTTTTTTTCAAAATTTTTTGTGAGTTTCCAAAAGGGTTGGAACTCGGGTCTAATGTAGAAACATTAATTTCAAAAGTTTTGTTCCTCAGGGCAGAGAATCGCTTTTTAATTTGTTTTTGCAAATCCCGCCAGATAACTTTCATGGCAGGATCGCGTGTTCTTTGATATTGTCTCCTACGGACATTTTTAAGACGGATCAAGAGCTGAAGATTGTCGTCTAAATATTATAATTGAATCGAATTTAACCTCGCATTTTGGTACTGAGGCAGCTCTTGCTTCAACTATAGAAGTAGTAAGAGATTCAAGAGCATAATTAATTTCATCTTTGGTTTGCAAAGGAATGTTAGGATCGAAGTTATATTCCATAAATGTTCGATATTGCTCCCAATCAGCCCTATGGTAATTGAAAGTAAAGCTGTTGGGATTACAAATTATTTCTTGGGATATTTCAAAAGTTACTGGAAGGTGATCAGAACCGAAGTCAGCATGGGTAACCAATTGGCTACAAAGTTGACATGAATCAGTTAAGACCAAATCAATAGTGGAGGGATTTCTTGCAGAAGAAAAGCATGTTGGGCTGTTTGGATATTGAATAGTGTAATAACCTGTAGAACAATCATCAAACAGAATATTACCATTGGAATTGCTTTGAGCATTATTCCATGAGCGGTGTTTTGCATTAAAATCACCAATAATGAAGAATTTAGACCTATGACGGGTAAGTTTCTGGAGGTCACCCTTGAGGAAATTCTATTGCTGGCCTACGCATTGGAATGGCAAATAGGCAGCTATAAACGTAAGTTGTCCAAATTTTGTTTCAACAGAAACTCCCAAAGTTTCAAAAACTTTGGTTTCAAATGAAGAAAGAATTTTATGTTTGATTCGTCTATGAATAATGATGGCAACGCCACCACAGGGTCCATCAAGACGATCATTTCTATAAATCAAGTAATTTGCGTCCTTCTTAACCTTATGGTCAGGTTTAAGGAACGTTTCAGTTATAACGGCAATATGCACGTTATGAACTCTCCAAAAGTTAAATAGCTCGTCTTCATTATCTTTAAGAGATCGAGCATTCCAATTTACAATATTTAATGCTTTAAAATCCATTACTGAATTTTAAAGTCATGACAATATTATTTGCAAATTTTACTCCAGTTTGAATAGCATCAAACATGGAGTTAGATTTAAGCATATCAGAAATCATGTCAATTAATGATTTCTGTAAAAATTCAATTTTAGGGCAGTAATGCTTCCTAAGTCAAAATTGTTAAAATTTCCGTTAGAATTACTTTGGTTAGTATTTTGATTTCTACCCGCTGCAATAGCAGCATAGGTAGCTCCATTAACTCGCTGAACATTGTTAGCAGCGAGGGGAGTAGGTACAGATGAAAAATTTGAAGCAGGGGTGATATTTGTACCTACGGGTACGAATGTAGAATTTGTTCCTCGCTGACCGTTGTTAACAGCAGAGGAATTTGTACCTGGTCGGAAACGTGGAGCGTTTCTTACCTGTCGGTTAGAACGAGATTGTAGGATCGCTTTGCGAGTCTTACATTCCCAAAAATTGGATTTGTGGTTTTCACCACAATTTGAACATTTAAATTTCTTAGGATCTT